TTATGAAGTATTCTAATTTGTTGAGATAGTGAATTGGTGGGTTTTTGTTAAATGTGAGCCAAAATCATCACAATTAAACGAACCAAAGACTTAAACTACTTCAGTCTGTGTGCATTGCATTTATTTAATACACGAGTTTCACAATTTGAGTTGAATTACTGAAATACATTTTTCCATGACATTCTAATTTATTGAGATGCACCTGTAAAGTGTATCACCATTCAGTGTATTAAAAGAGATAAGCTCTCAAGTAAATGTTGTGTGTTTTATACACATACCTCTGATGACCGAGATGAATAACACATGCCAATGTCAGGCGGGTAGTATTATATGCATCTGTGTACACGTGTTTACCAACCTTAAACACTGATGTCCATTGACCTGCAAGTTTTCCATCACTAACCCTTTAAAACTCTTTATTCCAGCAGTTTAAGTTTTTCCCTATTAGTGCCCCCCACAATCTGTCTCTGCCTCCAAAATTGTCTGGCACAACTGACTTCATAACAACACAGTGATAGCTGCTGTAACTAAAAAGTAGCCCAGTACACACATTAACCTCAAATGTACATGGAATAATAAATTCACCCCCTACCGTTTTATTACATTGTTTTCTGTTTGTACTGTTTAGGTTTTAATGCTGCACTGCACATCTGAGCTTTTTTTATTATTTGTATTCTTAAGCTTAACTATCAATTTGGAAGTTTCAAAATAAATCTTATTGTAACGTTACTTGTACAATGACAAAGATATTCTATTCAATTAGCTCATGCTCTCTCTGTATCTAACAAGCCATTGTTCAGTAATAAATTCAATATAATAATTAAAATAAATGATGGACTTTGTCAAAGATGAGAGCTTTAGTGAGGAAATGTTGTTTTGGAGAGGGTTTTGTTTTTTTTAACCACTGCTGCCCGGATCTTTTCTAGATGTTGAAAATCCTCTTCAGTTTCTCCAATTCTTCTGAGTGTGTTCACTGTATAAATTAATATGGATGAATCTTTGTCAAAGCTGTGTTTGTTCTATTGTTTGCTCTTTGCTCTTCTTGCGCTGTTTTAAAATCGATTGAGTTTGTAAACACATACAAATGATAAAACTTTTACTCTATTAAATTGTGCAATTAATCCTCTGAACACATGCGTGCTGAACCGTGGGCCTAGTCACGGGGCACTATCAACTAAGATCTGCTCCCTTCACTAAAATGTCACGGTTCCTAAACATGATAACAAATAATATAGATAAATAATGAACACGTCAAAACGAAAACACAGATACTTACAAGACCAAGTAGGAATGTCCTTTATCATTTGCCCGCTGCTCTCCGACAAGTAAACTTAGTGCTCTCTCGTGGATCATATTATCAAATGCAAGTAAACTTTTGAAACATTTAAATTAGCATTCTTTTTGGCATAATAAATAATGCTATATTTAATAATGCTGTAAAATAATTAAATTAAATATAAAATAATGCTAATTTAAATTACTCGAAGGTTTACTTGCATTTGATAAGAAGCTGCGTGGGCGAAAATTACATGTAAACAATTTTAAGGCTATTTTGGCCATGCTCATGGCTGGTCTGGTTACTGGTAAAGGGCTATAGCCAAGCCGTTAAAATTAGACCACAGATTGCCTCGATTTCGCCAGGTGGGCTAAAAGCAGACTACACGTAGCCCGTCTAATTTAGAGCTAAATCGAGGCTACATTTAGACCATGTCATGAAATGACACGTATATTTTTGTAGATATTATTGACACTGTGAACATGATGGGATATCAACATCATACATCTCACAAGTTATTTTGCCAAAAAACGACATGAAACCAAATTCAAGGTTATTTGGGCTAGATGTGGGTTACACATAGCCGGACTATATCGGGTCTATACTTAACCGAGACGTTGAAATGACGGCTATTGCTTGCTGGGATGGTTGTTCTCATGTCAACAAATATCTCCGTTTGTGTTTCAAAGATGAATGAAAGTCGTATGGGTTTGGAGTGACAGGAGGAAACTGATGGCAGCATTTTTATTTTTGGGGGGTGAACTATCCCATTAAGCATTCTAGACAACTAATATTTATTCCAAACGTGACTGTTTTAAATGTGTCTTTGTCAGGAGATTGAGCTCATTAATGAGGGGTATTAGTAAGGAAAATTAACATCTAATTAGCTAAAATTAGACGAGAGATGATTTATAAAGAAGCAAGTTAGCTCTAGAAAAAGCTTATAATTTAGCTGTAATGGCTCTTCAGCATTTATCATTTAGAACATGCTTCTTGAAAACTGGGCATCACACATCTACAGTTTGGGACAGACATATACATTTATGAAAGGAGACAATTTAACATATACAGCACAATTAAATTAACATGCACTGACATAAGATCCAAGCGTTATTTTGGTTTACAAGAACAAAACCTGACAAAGGCAATTTGACTACATTAGATGGAGCGATCCATCCAAATGCCTGAAGGTGATGATACACGGGGCAACTTTTTTGAGCAATGTTGCTTGGGCACTTTCCCATTGAGAATGGGATACCTGGTTGCCCGTTGATGGTAACATTGACCAGCAACATTGCTCAAAAAGTTGCCCCGTATATCATCACCTTAAGGAAATGACACACCTGTTCAGAAATTGCTTACATGCTTTGCATTGGCTCAGTAAAAACACAATGTACCGACATGCATTCAGTCTGCTGTGGAATACAGGTAAAGCAATACCCCCCAAAAAGAAAAAGAAAACACCTCAAATATACTGTTTACTGTATACAGTGACATCTGGATTTAGCATTAGCAACAATACAGAGGATACAGAGATAAAGCCTTGTCTCTATCTGTAAAAGGCACCCCGTAACACTTGGAAGTTACTTTTGTGGCTCAGAGAGATGTTGGGATGCCATTGTGCATAATCCAGAGTGACATCCAAAGACAAAATGGCACCCCACTGCATAAGGCAATTCTAAGGACTGAGCAGAAAAAGTAAAGCATGAATCAACAGACAGAAGGAAAAGAAGTAGAGGCAGTGTGCTTAATGTGCTGTTACAGATGTTACCAGCAGCTAAAAGACACATTAATGTCAGCACAGGCCTGTTGTTGAGTTACAGTACCTGATGAACATGTAGTAGGTTCAGTACACTCACAATAGAAGATTATTTTTGACACAAAAGACAGAATCGTCTAATAGAAATTGCATTAAGATATTATTCCTCTTATTACTTCCTTTTAGGAGTTTTGGTCTTGCTTGCATTCACGATGATCAGCAAAAAAAAAAAAAAACAAGCTTGAAACCGGTTTATTTTCTCAGTGCTGTTAAAAAGAAAGTATTGAATGCCTTTTTAGTTCATATTTACAGTGTCAAGGCAAAATGAGAAAATTTAATTGGCAGAAATGTAACTGGTGTCATGCTGTGGCTCAAAGGGAGGGAAAAGCGATACATTTTCTCTTAGAAAGGCTTATGTTTCTGATTTACATATTTAGACAGATTATAGTGACTGGAATAACTTTTTTGGAATTTCTTATTCCAGCTTTAGGAGCACATTTTAACATACATCTGGTTCTGAACAACAACCTGGAGTGTGCACAGTCAGACCTAGCTGTCCAGCATTAATACAGAGAGTTAAAAGGTGTTTAGGCATATAATTAGAGATTCTCATGTTGATACATGAGGGGGAAAAAAAGGCAAAATATGTTCAGTATTAGATGATGTTTAAGATGAAAATGTTGAAAGGATAAAGGCATCTGCGAGGAGGTTTGACAGTAAATATATGTCTTGGTTAGCAGTCTCAAACTAAATTTAAGACATCACTGCATAATGGCATGAATATGACAAGAGATGGTTTGTGCAAATGTTAAATTAAATAAAAACAAAACAACAAAACAGTACACACTACAGTGTATATACACAGGGTAAACTGTTAACACATTCAGATCAGAGAAATCTCAGCATTTGGGACTGCAAAACCGAATAAAAATCATTATCACCATAAGAAAGGACTTACTAAACTATATGTAGTGAACTATGAGAATTCTCCATCTGATGAAGATACTGTTTTCCAGTCAATGTAGACAATTTGGACACAATCAGTGTCAGCTCAGGTGCATATGTTCACTGTTCATTACACAGGACAGTTAAAAGGAGGTAAAGATATCTTAGAAACTATAGCTACTCATGCCAGCAATCCACTAATCATCCACTAATCAGGCCCAGTGTAGATAAAACAGGTCTACCTGACAACATTTCGCTAATTCTGTAAAAGTGTTCAAATAAAAGACTGATCTAATTGAAAAGTACTGAAATTCAAATGGTATTTGATGTATTGTTATAAAAAAAAATGAATGAATTTGGACTCGCGCTTTAGTGTCCAAGACGACTTTACGATTAATAATACAACTTAGCATTTTTAACGTAATACAGATATTATAAATGCTTGTATGCGACTGGAACTGGGAGAGAAAAGTCCCGCGTAAATGGACTGTTCTTACAGACCGCTTATCTATGCGTAAATATAAATCTGATTTGTGGTTCAAAGCATGATTTGTTCAGAGAGGATTGGGGAAGGTTGTTTTTATACAGCAGGCTGTTCCACTAATACACATAATACTCCAAACCCTTTTCATATGTTACGACTGTTTTCATAAAGCTCACAAACAGGGAGTAGAGAGAGTATACAAGCATTAGTATCCTAAATCATCTTCCACTCAAATCATCAATACACGGCAAAGGCAAATCTGTGCTGGGTTTATGGCAACTAGAAACAGTTGGCATGAGGTGAAGCTCATCACACACTGAAAATGGTGCGCTGTTGCATCACAACCTCTTGAACATCTGCTCCTGTCACGAGCATAGAAGGGCCAACATGTAGATGATTTGAAGAGAAATGGAAACTCGTCACATTATTAAATGGCTTTTCCTTATTAGGGGATGTGGCTTTCCTGAAATCTTACAGCAGCTTCTGGTTTGAAGGTTGGGTTTTCCTCAGTGTCTCAGGAGTCTTCAGTCATCTTCAGTAACTCTAGGAAGGCACCAACAGCTCCAAAATAACCCTGTAGTAAAGAAGCAGAGCATTTCATTATACATGCTTCTTTCATATGATATGATGGCATTTGTTGAGGCCTAACGAGCAATCAGTGGCTGATATTTTGCATACACACTACTGTGTATTTATATAAAAAACAGTCATTTTAAACTGTAATAATATTTCACAATATTACTGTTTTTACTGTATTTTTAATCAAATAAATAAGCCTCAGTGAGCATAAAGAAACTTTAAAACATTAAAATAAAATCTTACTGACCCCAATCCTTTGAATGAATATAGAATATCTTATGAGATGTACACAAGCTGAACTTTTTTATTTGAAATCATTTTAATTTGGATAATTCTTTCTTATTAATATTTTCTGATTAATAAGTTCACAATATTTGGCAACAGAAATCAACATTATCCAATGAGGGGTCTGTGGTAAACTTTGGAACTGACACAAGGGGGAGCTAAAGGTCCTGTTAATCTGCAAAGTGGTCATACATCCACTGATCATAACAGTAAACAGCACTAACACCTTGTTTACTTTTAACAATAATTTAAACATTTCTCATTTATTGTACACCTATAAATAACAAATTTAGAGCAGGAGGCCTATTCATCTGTTGTGTATATATATATATATTATAAATCATCATGCAACAGGTGCTCATTTTCCTCTTACTCCCTAATATTTACATCCTCACATTCATCTTCAGAAACACCTCGTACAATTACACATCACAGCTTTTTTTCTAGTCCCATCAATATTTTTGTATAAAAGCCACAAAACTAAAACTTTGATTTCATTGGCTGTTTAAAAGCACCCAAGTGTAATTTTTTTTTTTTTTTTTTTTTCTTTTTTTTTCCACCATTTATAAAAATGTGTATTAAAGCATTAATGATATGGGTGTGTATTAAAAGCCATATACTTGCTTGGCTGATATATTTATTGACTGCTATAAAGAAGGTTAAACATAATTAAAGGGTTAGTTCACCCAAAAATTACAATTCTGTCATTAATTACTCACCCTCATGTCGTTCCAAACCCGTAAGACCTCCGTTCATCTTTGGAACACAAATTAAGATATTTTTGATGCATTCTGACAGCTCTCTGACCCTCCCATAGACAACAAGGGTACTACCACGTTTTCCGTATCCGTGTGGTGCAGCTGACACAGAACAACATACGCTGTTTGCGTTCAGTGGATACTCTCCAAAATGGCGCTAGGGTGACGCGGAGGAGACTAATTATTGAATAAAGTCATTATTTTCTTTTCTTTTGCGCACAAAAAGTATTCTTGTAGCTTCATAATATTACGGTTGAACCCCTGATGTCACATGGATTATTTTACCGATCTCCTTGCTATGTTTCTGGATGTTGATCGTGGTAGTACCCTTGTTGTCTATGGGAGGGTCAGAGAGCTGTCAGAATGCATCAAAAATATCTTAATTTGTGTTCCGAAGATGAACGGTGGTCTTACGGCTTTGGAACGACATGAGGGTGAGTAATTAATGACAGAACTTTCATTTTTGGGTGAACTATCCCTTTAATATAACTGATTCTATAATTGAAGGGAATTAAGTGATAAAAAAAGGCTTACTTCATGTTCTAAGAAAAGGGCTTTCAGTTGTCCGTTAGACCAGAAGTCCATGGCATAGGCTAGCAGCTTAGTTGATACGGTGTTGATCCGAAGGAAATTCCCAACAAAAACCACTCTATCGATATTCTGAAGAAAATTAAACAAAAAAACAGACGGTCAGAATAAACAGTAATATTGCTCTATTATTATGGAGAAGAGAAAAGAGGAAATATCTACATTCCACTTGTTCTTGACTTTTACACCAGAGTATTTTAGGAAAAGAAAAAATGTTTATCCATCTTGTGGCTGTTCAGTGTGCTGTGATAGCCCTGTACAATGCTGCTTGATCTCCATGGCACAAGACAACACTGTAAAGAAGCTCAGAGCACACAGAGTTCATGGTCATCTTTTGCACCACGGATTTATTTTTATATATAGATTATTTCACAGAGTATTGGCCACTTAATTTAGCGTATGTATTCTGAACAAAAATCAATTAATGTGGCTGCAAAAACAGTTCTTAAAATAGATGAGATTTTACATTAAGAGAAAATGTTTTCAAACCTCATTCACTGCACACATGCGGGCGATGGAACCAATGTTGTTTGTGATGGTCACAAGAGTGGCCCTGGCCAGGTCCTCTTTACTTATACTATCACGTTTCTCCTTGCTCATCATATGACCAAAACTACGAAATTAAAGGGAAAAAAAACCCTGAAGATCTTCTTTAATCACAAACATGATCATTTTACATATGGATGATGACAAATCTGTCTATACCTGGATGCAACGGCAGAACCCTGGAGACCGAAGCGCTCATAATCACCTCCATAAATGTCCTTCACTAGTTTGTCCACATTTGTGCTGTCCCCTTTAGCTGCCATCTCTAAAGCCTCCTCAAATGTCTCACAGCCAGTCAGCAAACAACACAGGCCTAGAAACGTACCACCTCCTAAACTGAATCACAACCAATGGAGCAAATGAATGGCGGTGTATTTAAAAAAATGTTGCGTTAATTTAGGTAGATTAGATATCTTGTTTCTACAACATATTTAGCCATTTTCATTACAAAATAATAAAAAATAAGTCATTTATCATTTTTACTTTACAGTTACAGTGCTACAGAACTTTAGGCTCTTTATCGCCATCTGTGGTTGAAACATAAAATTGCAAGTTGTTGTAGAATAGGAGACCACACGATGTGGACATTGTAGCCACATATCAAACATTTCTTGTAGGCGACATTTAATTAAAAAAGGGAACGATTTAGTACAACATTGCCACGACTAAAAAAAAAAAATCATAATTTGTGGCAACAAATTCTTAGTTCATGGCCACGATATCTTGTTTTTTTCCCCCTGCATGTCATGTGCGAGACTGTCATCTGCTGTACTTTGGCAATGCTCTTCTGTGTGAATAAATCAGCAGGTCTGAACTATATCTATGGTTCTTTGATAACATATCTGATAAATGTTTCGTCTGGTCAGTAAGTAGCATATCTGCTATTGTAGTAGCCAGATCTTATTGTCTTTACTTATATAAGTGATGTATATAAGCAGGATGAAGGGCATAAACCTGAAATTAACCTGTGTGCTTAACTACAAGAAAAAACATGATGCCATAATTCACCTGGTGCCTGTGACTCGCTTGTAATCATCCTTGGAGTAGACAGCCAGGATGCTAACCCCCGAGCCAATGTTTACCAGCAACATAGGGAAGGGGTTCTCCAGGCTAAATGGCCTCTTGACACAGTTTTCAGGCTCGGAAGGATTTTGGAAAAAATAACACCCGGGATGGTCATTGAACCTGACTGAGTCAACATACAGAAGACCTTGAATAAGACAGTCCAGTTCATCCAGCTTCTGGAGCTCCAAACCAGCCACCTGCAGGAAGAAGTAAATACACAAACACATAAATCATAAACGCGACATAGCTAATGTTAGTCATTCATTGTCCTGATAACAGTAATAGTATAAGTGGCAGTAAGATAAGACATTACAATATGTCAACATAACACTAGTCTGCTACAAATCAACATAGTTTTTACATTCAATCAAATCGAATAAATTCCATTATTATGTCACTATTCCTCTGTGGATCACACACCGTTCTGAAGTCGTCCTCAAACTTGTATGCGCCCCCACCCGTGGCGCACAGTGTGGTGTGTAGACTGGAGAAGTTCTTGTCTCTGCCCATTTGGATGAAGCGGTGCATGTCTTGCGTGGGGAACCGAATAAAGTGTAGGTTGCCTTTCCGGCCACACATGGTGAGGTTCTTCAACTCCAGGTGAACGTCACGGATACCCGTGTTTCCATAGGCCACGTTGGAGGTCAGATAGCGGCGGATGCTCTTCAGGCTCTCCACTTCTTCTTGTTCTTCTTCAGCAGTTATGTCCTTGGGCTCAAAGTAAACCAGCTTTACCAGAGTGCCTCCGATATCCATCCCAAACCATGGAAAGGCTGGAAAAAAAATCTAAAGTTTTAGAAAGGGAAATTTTGCCATTCTTTCTTAACAAGTATAACCTGCATCTTTCTGTATAGTATTGATTGGTGTGAAATAAATACGATAGGTGTGAAAAAATTCTATAATGTAAAATCTAATAAACAAATCATTAAAATATAATAATTAAGTGACTTACGTTTTTTTGTGTGTGTGTGTTTTTAAGATTTTAGTGTAATAAGTATATTAAAGGGGTCATATGATGCTTTTTTAAAGATCATTATTTTGTGTATTTGGTGTAACAGAATATGTTGACATGCTTTAATGTTCAAAAACACATTATTTTTCAAATACTGTACATTATTGTAGGTCCTCTATGCCCCGCCTCTCTCAAATGCTTCGTTTTCTACAAAGTCCCTCCTTCCGACAAGCGCAGTCTGCTCTGATTGGCCAGCTGACCCAGTGCATTGTGATTGGCCGAACACCGCAAGCACTCATCGGAAATGTAACGCCCCTTACCATAATCGCGAGCTTCAGCTTTCAAAATAAATGTAAAGACAGAGCCCGAAAGGGGAACAGAGACACTGTGTCACTGTAGTGCTTTTGCTTTCTCCTAGAAACAAACAGCTTCTCCCTGACATGGCTGCTTCAACACTAACTGCGGTTACTGAAACCACGCCTTCTTTCTTTGCGTGCACATTTGGGCAGCATTATGCAAATATTTCCACATAGTGAGGTAGATATGTGGGGGCGTGTTAGAACGAGCCATTTTAGGGGGGCGTGGCAGAGTCTTAACTTTGATAAAGAATAACACTTTTGTTTTGAGACTTTAGTCTTTGCAACTTCAGGGATCTTATCTATGCACAATCAGCTTGTAACACTCCAAAGAGAAAGGAAAACTTGAAATCGCATCATATGACCCCTTTAATGAATACTGTCTGATTGCAAATAACTATGACTGCTTTGGTAGAGGGAAAAGGCCCATTTGTTGCCATGGTAACAGTGGTTTCAAAGAGATTGCCTGGTGATTCTGAGAAACATCCTGTCTTCAAAATAAAAGTCACACATCAGGTTCACATAATCTATCTAGCATACAATATAATCTCTTGGTAAAAAAAAACATTCAGACCTTACTGACACAACCTCGGTATTTTCTACAGCAGCCTTAGTGAATCAGTAAAATATCTTTGCAGCATTTGTGAGAAAGCAGTTTCTTATGTCATTGATTAGTTAAGGGAGTCTGAGTTTAGATCAGTGATGATAATGTTGCTGGCAGATATACATGTAGGTGAAAGGTGTGTGTACTCCTTGTCTCAAAGAGCAAAGTACTGCAAAGCCACCAAGAACACAGTGACTTTACAGAAGTTAATGGACAAAAAGTGAAGTCACAGCAGTTTACAGCCAACAATGCAACATATTAAAGCAATGCAAGAAATATTTAAGATAGATTTATATTCACATTTAAAAACAATATTTAAAATAAATTATGAATATACTTGATTGGATTCTGGAGTGTGCAATTGCTGTTATTTTAACTAGTTCTTGATTGGTTTGACAGTAGACTGTAAAAAGATGCTGACTAATTAATACCATCAAAACGGAATCTCTTTGATTTTTATGTAATGTACTGCTTTTATTGATTAAACAATATTACGCAGGACCTTACCTGGCTTCTTGACAATTAGTTTCATACTTTGCAGGTGAGACAGACAGGATTATGAAGACAGCAATATGAAGTACCCAGCAATATACTCAGTATATGTATATATCACTCAAATGCTGCTGGCAGAAGAATAAACGTCCTAATGTCACTTGGCAGGTGTGCTATGGCCTTTTTATGTTAATTACACCAGTACTGTAAAGTCTGCCAGTTCGATTTCCCCACCCCTTCGTGTGATCCTTCCCTCTCATTGGATGAAATCGCATGTTCTTCATAGCTGTCGTGTTTTGGTCACACCCTCACATTCTGATCTGGCCAATGAAATCCGCTCAACGAACATCACATTGATTTCACAACACTAAATAACCCGGTCTTTCAAAACAATTCAACCTCTTAATACATGCATATTTGAAAGTTCAAGCATTTTCTCTTTTAAATAGGCATTCGATTTATTTTTTGTTTTAATTGCGAAGAATACTTAGATAAAACACAAAAAGAAAACCAAAAAAATCGGTTCACTTCCGGGACTTCAGGACACTTAACATCTCATCTTTCACGTTCTTGGTACAAATATGAATAAGAACGAAATGCGGGTGGGGGGGGGAAAAAATAAATACAAAAATCTGATGCTTCGCTACAAACACTGACCAAACAGTTAGTCAATAAAACGGAAATTGTAACGTACAGTGGGATAACCTTTATTTATAACGGCGAACGAAAAGCGAATGTGCAAAATAATGTCTGACAAGATTTTGTTGAGCGTACAAAAGAAAAATAAACAAATAAAAACAAGTTTAAAGCGCTGGAATCGGTTTTTAGCTGCTTATATTTGGGATCTTTTAAAACGAAACATACCTCAAAAATAGCTATTTGCTGTATGTTGTGCTAATTGTCATTGTTCAATTGAAGGTACAGTTTAATACATGAATTACTTACGCGGTCTGTTCTTCTTTCCCGAATCCACGCGTCTTCGGAGTCTGCAGCGCTTCGCGGGCGAACCATTGTTGTGTACATCCTGATGAAGATGGTGGAAATGTTCAATACCATTATGGCCACCGCAACTGTCACTAGCACCCAGACCACCTCCGTTAGATTATTGTACAAAGGAAAAATAAATAAATAAATAAAAACAAAATGTTTAATGTGCTGAAATCGTTTCTTAAGCTGCTTAACTGATGGATATTTTTAAATTAACCTTACCTCTAAAATAGCTATTTACAGTATGTTGTGATAATTGTCACTGTTCAGTTTAAGTTACAATTGAATACATTAATTAATTACTGAAAACTGGACTTACGCGGTCTGTTCTTCTTTCCCGAATCCACGCGTCTTCGGAGTCTGCAGCGCTTCGCGGGCGAACCATTGTTGTGTACATCCTGATGAAGATGGTGGAAATGTTCAATACCATTATGGCCACCGCAACTGTCACTAGCACCCAGACCACCTCCGTTAGATGGAATACACTCCCCGTCATCGGACTGTAGGGTGTGAAACCCGTTTACATAGCGCGTCGCTCCGTTTTGATCGGATGTTTCAGCATTTTCCATGGTTTTACGAAGCAAATATGAACGTTCGGGAGACAGACAGATGCGTAACGACTCGACGTTTCGAAGGCGCTTCAAAATGTACAATTGTTTTGTCAGAGTTCTACATTAATGCTGATGTGTTGTAAAGCGATGAAGACAAAAGATAGGTCTTCAACATCTTATTTGAGGTCACTGTCGGTCATTTCTTCTTTACACGCTTGTATGGCTTCCGAGTCAAACAGCCGGTATATGCGACGTCATTAAGGAAAATGCTCACTCCCTCTTGTTGAAACGTCATGTTTCAGAGACGACTAGCCTACTTACTGTTACTCCTTCCTACAGGTAGGCTTTCACGTTATATGAATAGGTTTTTTAAAGTCATTTTTAAAACACCTGGTAGGTTAAGAAAGTCTTGTTCAAATGCCTATAGACGGAATGTTGTCTCATTTCCACCACTCACTTGGACTTTGGCATAATAGACCTGTTCATAGGGAATTAATGAATACATTATGTCTGTGTGTTATTAAATAAAACTGTATTCATATAACGTAATACGTTGGTAAGAGGAAACACCAAACATGCAACACTGACAGACAATGTACATTATTCTAATAAATATGTGAAGAGATGTTTGCCCTGTTCAGTTTTTGAATTGATTTCGTATTCAGAGCAAGATTCTTTATCTTATGCATCAATCATGATGCCTTTTATTTCTTATGTGTGGGAGGAAATTTTGTTTAAGTACAACAGCAGGTTTACATGGACGTCAGTGCTATTGACTCACAACATAAGTTTACTAACTATTTATTATTCTCCACAATTCCAATATAAGAAAGAAAAACAAGTTTATGAGCAATAGAAACATGCAAACAATTATGTGTCATTTCAGCTGGATTCTACCTATACCTACATGCAGTTCACGTTGAAAAAACAAGGGAATTATAAAAACCTAAAAATCCCTGATGCATTTAGATTTTCTCAACTGTCTCAAAGTAACACTACTTTGTTATGTCAATTTGAATTTGTTCATTCACTAAATGCAAAAGGCCTCATTCAGCTAATACATTCAAAGAAATGCATGTTTCTTGCTCAACAAATTAGTTGTTCTGCAAATTAACACAATACATATCACCCTATAAACTTACAGCAAATAGATGTATGATATAGCAATAATATTACTATGAAAAGGCACCTTAACACCTTACGATGGTGACAATCAACACATGTAAAAAGACGAGCTCTTAAAATCACAACACTATAATGACAAAGCAACAGCAAAATGTTTTAATCAGTAAACAGTGAAACAATGATCGTATAGTAACCCCACATAAGTTATTCAAGCTGCAATGCATGCTGGGACCTTAACATTTTTTTTATTGAAATTCCTTATTCAAACTATTCTGTTGGTCTAACATGGGTTTTTATGTAGTTTCAAGTAATTCACATTTCTTAGTATTTAGTACTTATATTCAGTGCAGATGTAGATGCATAGCTAGTAGTCCTGGTCCTCTAAATGAAATCTTGGGTTGCTAATTCCTACTAATTCCTGAGTAGAAGTGTACTACTACTTCTACTCAGATACTAAAATATACATACTGAGGGTGCAGAGATCTGATAAAAGATATAGAGATATAAAGTGACAATTGATATTTATATGCATTTTATCTAAGTAGTCTGCTGTACTATTATATATATCTCACTGAAATGACAAGTTATCAGAACTTCATCTTATATTCTGGCCATATAGATATGAGCATCTACACCAAACTGCATATTTTTGCTCAGTTTGGGCCTCTAAATAAAATGTAGGTGTTTTTTCTTCCTTGAGTATTCTCCTATATCATACTATATGAGACTGGTGTATCAAATATGATAATCAGCAACAACAACAACAACAACAACAAAGATTTGCTTTTATATATTGCCTAAAGGTTCAATAAACAGTTCCATAAAAAAATATATTTTACTTCATATGTCAGGCTTTAGAGGTTTATCAAGTAAAGCCGGATTATTGTCTCAACACTGTTATAGTCTGACTTCACAATTGGCCCCTGGGTTTATACTAAAAGAAACAGGTGAACATTTACATACAAAATCAATTTACATTGTTTTATTACTTAAAATCTGACAGTCATCATAATTTTTTTTTTCCTTTTAATTTTAGACATATTAAATACTAAAAGCAAAATATAAATCTTTCAAATTTTGCACATGCACCAGCATGAAAAGTAAACCTTTAACATTTTGAGTGGCATTGCCTCAAGAGGGCGCTATGAGCATGATAGAAGTTAATCTTCAGAGGCCCTGTCAACCACAACATTAAAAAAAACCTGTCTAATATCATGTAGGTCCCACTTGTGCTGACAAAACCGCTCTGATGTGTCAAGGCATGGACACCACGAGACCTCTGAACGTATCCTGTGTTATCTGGCACCAAGACGTTATCACCAGTTCCTTTAAGTTCTACAAGTTGTGAGGTGGGGTCTCTATGGATTGGATTTGTCTAGCACATCCCATAGATGCTCAATTGGATTGAGATCTGGGGAGTTTGGAGGCCCAGGCACAGTGAACTCTTTACTTTCATGTTCCTCAAAATATTCCTGAACATTTTTTTGCAGTGTGGCAGGGTGCATTATCCTGCTGAAAGAGACCAGTACCACCAGGGACCACCATTAACATGAAGGGGGCCACGTACACACTGCAAGTTTCAGGAGTGACAACCGCATTTAAATGTGGGAGTGAGTCCCGTAAATTATCGTTCCATGGTGTACGGAACACGACTCACTCCCGAAACTGCCATGAATGGCAGCGTGGTAACGTTTGGCGTCTCAGAGAGAATGGAGGCCCGCAGATTAGCTAGTTTTGTGTTATAGCTGCTGTTGAGAAAACAAACATTAGAGTGCAAAGACATGCGAAAATCCGCAAAACATTATCAAATCGCCGTCGGGAGAGGCATCGTAATCTAGTTCTTTAAACTACCAGTAGCTACTCGCATTAAATTCAAGGCATTAATGTTTGCCTACAAAACCACCACTGGCTCTGCACCCATTTACCTAAATTCATTACTTCAGAGTTATGTGCCCTCTAGAAGATTGCGTTCTGCAAGTGAACAGCGTATTATTGTGCCATCTCAAAGAGGCACAAAATCACTTTCACAGACTTTTTCATTAACTGTTCCCTCCTGGTGGAATGACCTGCCCAACTCAATCCGAGCAGCTGAGTCCTTAGCCATCTTCAAGAAACAACTAAAAACACATCTGTTCCATCTTTATTTGACCCTCTAACTCTAGCACTTTCTATTCTCTTTTAATTCTACTTTATCTATATTTATCTTCTTTTTTTATAAAAAACAAACAAACACTAGCTTTCTATTTTTTATTCTATCTACTTGTTTTTCTTTGTGTGTGTGTGTGTGTGTGTGTGTATAATATATATATACAGTATATACACCTTGCTACGTGTACTGCGTTAGGCTAACCGAAACTTGTCATTTGCACTTATATATTGTTGCTCTTTTGTTAGTTTTGACTGCTTTTATTGTCTTCATTTGTAAGTCGCTTTGGATAAAAGCGTCTGCTAAATGACTAAATGTAATGTAAATGTAAACTGTTGTTATTGTTATTAACTTTTACCTCACAAATACCTGTTTTACTTTTTTACTTTGAGTTACTGTAACAAGCTTTTAAAAATATTACAGTACCTCAAAAGTTACATTACAAGTTTGATAACTAAATGAACAGAAGTCAGATTTGCCTAAAAGTTCATTATGGCAAGAGCAACCAGTAATGGACGTTCATCGACTAAACATTGCTTCTATTATTACAGCATTTTTAAGGGACTCTTTCTGCAGGTTACATAGTTATGCCAGTAGTTGTCTATATATAAGTGAATAGTGAATCAGCTATAAGTGAATCGATGACTTATTCACTCAACTGATTTGTAAAAAAATGCTTATTCATTCAGAAACAAAACATGTTACCATCTTTATGAATAAGTCATTGAATCATTCATTTAACAGATTAATTTAAAAACTAAATATTGTAAGATGACAAAGGAGAATGTTTGTGTTCTTTCCTCCCTTTATATTATTTCTGGAATATAGTGAAGTTTAAGTTAGATCTCTGTTCAAAGCAGCAATAAAAACACCAAATTACAGCATTTTTAAGGGACTCTTTCTGCAGGTTACATAGTTATGCCAGTAGGTGTCTATATATAAGTGAATAGTGAATCAGCTATAAGTGAATCGATGACTTATTCACTCAACTGATTTGTAAAAAAATGCTTATTCATTCAGAAACAAAACATGTTACCATCTTTATGAATAAGTCATTGAATCATTCATTTAACAGATTAATTTAAAAACGAAATATTGTAAGATGACAAAGGAGAATGTTTGTGTTCTTTCCTCCCTTTATATTATTTCTGGAATATAGTGAAGGTTAAGTTAGATCTCTGTTCAAAGCAGCAATAAAAACACCAACATTTGTCAATGCTGCCTGCATTCACACATATTATAATAAATCATAAAATTCAACATTCTGTTCAATGTAGGAGACTTATTGATTTGTATTATTCTAAGTTGCTTTCTAAAGCCATTCTTCAGAAATGTTAATATCATCTAGTGTCAGCCCAGATAAAACATTACAATCAGCTATTACATCTATAATACAACACAAGACACATTATTGCTGCTTGTAGTGCAATGTCTTGATGTCCTGCAACCACTTGGAATAACATAACTCCCCTAAGCAACATATAACAATGAAACAAAAAGACTGATGTTAGTCAAACGACCTGGTTTAATGTATGTATATATATACTGTATATATATACTACTGATGGCTAAATTTGCCTTTTAAGCACAATAATTTTCTCCTAATATATACTTTTTTTCTCTTTTAAAATATGCACTCACTTTTTAAAATTATTTAGCATTAAAAAGTTTTATAAAGGAATTAATAATACTTTAAATATTTAAATTGATGTACACTTAGATGGCATAAACATTAATTTGTTAAAGTGATAGTTGACAAAAACAAAAATTGTCATCATTTACTCACCTTTATTACGTTCCCAACCTTTATGATTTTCTTTCTTATGTGAAACACACACAAAAAAATTTTTTTTTAAGTGTTTTGTTTTTTATACTGTTTGGACAAAACAGTATTAAAACATCTTCTTGTGAGCAACGCTTGTATTTCTGTAAGAGTAAATTCATTAGAGATTTAAGCAGCCTCAAATAGCAGGGCTCAACTCAGTGACATCATTCGTGATTGAGCTGTAGAACATGCTCAATGC